GGATGTGTCATTGAAGGGTTGGGACTCCCCGTAGTACCGGTGCTCTAACGTTGCCATAAATGCGTTGAATTGTTTAACACTTTTCACCATAAAACTGGCACTACTGGTGATGAATTCTGGAGGGGCGGTTCCCTCACCCCCTATCCTCACAAATAGCGGTCCACCAGATTTGTAGTGCGAATCTTCGGTGTAATACAGCTATTAAATAGTATCATAAAAATATTAGTTTCTAACCTTGGTTGTTGTAATATGAAAACTTAATTATTTATTAGGATATTATAAAAATATTATACTTTATTTATATAAATTCCTATTCATTATAAGTTATGAATAAATTTTAATTTACAATTATAAATATTTTATTTAATTATACACAAAATTAATATAAAATTTGAAAAAGGTGATTTGAAACCTGTTTGAAAGTGCGGTTATCTTTAGCGTCAAAATGGTTGAGTCTCTGGTCATAGTATTGCGGTTTAATTTCCTTAAGTACTTCATTCGGATCAGGAACGGGTGGTCTAACCATACCATACTTGTCATTGGGTCGACCCCTAAACATTGTCAACCTATTTGTAAGCACCCCATTCACGTAGCAATGTAGAAAAGTTACAATAAATATAATATACAGATTCATATTTTAATTGTATTTAATTTAATAAAATTGTACAAAATTAATAAAATTAATTTCTTTGATTTAATATTTAAACTCTTTATATAGTCATCACAGTATAATCATAATTTATTATCAAGATATACAGTACATTAAGATGACACTTAATTTTTGAAATTATTTAGATAAATTCCTAATATTTGATAAATTACTGAACATGTTATTTATATTTTAAGAAAGGTAAAAGTGAAATTTATATAAAAACTATTGATCAATAATAATTCAATTACTATTATACAAAACATACGAGAATATACAGTAATTATGATACATTATCATTAATGTGATAGGAGGGTAAAAAATATATTTTTGATAATTAACTTACAACCAGTGATATAAGTTAATGGAATTGAGCCTAGTACACATAACTCTTAATTATAAAATTAAACACTACTATATAAATTGATTAATATATTAGTGATCACAACATCTGCTATAGTTTGGTATGTTAGTGAGGGTATGGTTGACATTGAATGTCATACCACTCTAATATTTGTAAATTTTTAAATGTATGTTAATTTTAAATATGGTTTATTAGATTATCTCATTAAATACACACTTTTGCAATTCACATTATGGTTGCAATAGATTCACATTTTAATTTCAACAAAATATAGATAAATAATTTTTTATTTAATTTTAAATGTAATAAAGGTTAATTTAATTTGAAACTTGGTTTCAAAAATTGGTCTAATTTTGGACTCTAATATGAAGTACTCGTGAGTTACTCGTAATAAATATGTTTATTAAGTATAATGCAATCAAACAATACTATTATTTCAGATATTCTTGCAATTCATTTGTAATCAAATTGTGGGCATCCATTAGGCTCTGGGTCTCATTGGCCGAGTAGACCATATCAGCGCCATGGCCTTGACCTGAGATCATCACCGCTTTGGTGCTGTTGTTGAGGTCGTGGAGTACACTCAATGAATGCCACGGATCAAGTGAGCCGTTAGAGAACACCACATTTGTCACATTGGGTTGACGGCCCCCGTAGTAGGCGTTTCTTGTGTCCACCGCTTTTTGTATGGTTTGGACAG